TAAATGTACGATCGAGCCAGGAACCAATTTCGGTTGAAGTAAACACTGTAAAAAACAACTCACCTTTCATGGACGAGATGAACTAGCCTACAGCTAAAATCTAAAAAAAAAGTAAAAAAAAAATGAGTTTGATGATCCACTTCCTCCGGCAATTCTACATGCATGGTTGGGATTGCGAGATTACCTGTGCCTATTAGACCAGGTACAGATTCCACGATGGGTACACAACGGCCGTATCCAATTGAATAGCTTTTCTGATGCCACTTTAATTTTAGTTGCGAGATCAGTAGGCAGCGATGAAAATGTGCACATCCAGCTATTTGCAGCCAAAACTAATAGCGAATTCGTTTATTATTCAGTTCCAACCTGGATCGGGTATCAAGATTGAGTCTGCTTGTTTTCTGACAAACGTCAGTTTGCTCGTTTGTTTTTAAAACCTAGCTCAGGTTGAGGTTCACACTGACAAAAAGTTCGGTTTCGCACTCGGTTGGAACTGGTGTTAACCCCGATAATAAACGAATTCGCTATAAGCTTGCTCCGGGGAAACAAATAGCGCTACCAAGGTTGGAACTGAACGTAGCGGTTATCCTATCTGACCTAATGCAGAAGCTATCACTTTCGCTTGAGCATCTTCAGGTCGAGTATGACGGGTGGACAGACTCAACAGTTGTGTTGCAGTGGCTGTCTTCGCTTCCCAGGCGATGTTGCTAACAGAACGTCGGCGATTCAAGAGCTCCTGCCTAGAAGGTACAGGAATTATGTATCACCGAAGGACTCAGACTGCTTCTCACAGCATTTCTCCGGAAGAATTGGTGAATCACAATCTTTGGAAGACAGGTCCGTTATGGCTGAACAAGGACGAAACAACACAGTAACGTCCAATATTAGCAGCGGTTTGAGCTGTTTTGAATCATCAAAGGTCAAAATCATCGATCAGTGTTCGAAACTAGAACTAGGACTGGTAGCTCGGCGCAGCAAGGATTTCCCACCGTAGATGAATTACAGTCTACAGATTTGGCATTTATTCGGATGCCACAAAGACAAAGTTCTCCACAGCGAGATCAAACGTTTGAAGCAGGGTCTGTAAGTTTCTCGGAAGAGCAAGCTGAGAATGGATTCTGGTGGGTAGCAGCTCCGTCATTCGTTAGTAGGTTCAAAACTGCGTCCGTTGCAATCGCCTGAAAGGACAAATCCTGGCCGATTACTAGCTTTGGCCTTGACCTGTGCCCAAGTCAAATTTCGGTCAACGTTCTTAATTTCACTGTTTAGGCTCCGCCGTCACGAGCCTCTGGGTCTGCTTCTGCTGCGATGTCTTGCTGGATTCCAATCCAGTGCTTGCTTGCAGATTTCGTTTCCACTCCGTTGTAGTGTGTGGCCTCCACTTCCGTTCACGAATTTCTGTTTCTATCGGCTTCTGATGGCACAAACGATGAAGCGCGGAATTTGAGATCCAATTGTGGGGCCACCAGGCACGAATTATGTACCGCAGGCATCGGTAGATAAACACCTGCAGCTTCTGAGTGTTCTCTGCTGATACACACCATGTTTCACTGGCGTATAACAGCACATACTTCACGTTCGAGTTAAAAATTTGTCGCATACAGTTGGATCCCCCTTCTTGGGGACTTTTACCAAGACGCCCTGCATCCAGTCGGCCGGAAAGTCACGGTGTCCCAGATATTGACGAATAGTTAATGCAACATTTGTGAGGATAGCATGGGGTCAGCTTTGAGCATCTCTGTTGATATGCGATCGACCTCCGGGGCTTTGTTGGACTTCATACTTCGGATGGCTGCTTCTGTCTCCTGCAATGATGGAGTTTCAGTGTTGACGCGAGTAACTCGCCTCACCCTTGGCGGATCATGCCGAGATGTTGATGGTTGGTTGACCGTTGGAACTCCAAGAAGTTGTTCAAAGTGCTCAAACCAGCGTTTCAACTGGTCAGTGGGGTCGGTGAGCAACTGTCCAGTCGCGTCTTTCACAGGCATCCTTGCCCCGCTCAGACGTCGTGAAACATCATAGAGGAGGCGGATATCACCAGTTGCTGCGGCTTTCTCCCCTTCAGGGAGTCCACCCACGCTCGCTTGTCCCGTATACAGGAGCGCTTAACTTCCCTCTCTAGAGCCGAATACCACTGACAGGCCTCGTTCTTGGCTCCTCGGGTCCTTGCTCGCTCTATCGCGGCTTTTGCTTCTCTCCGCTCCTCGATCTTCCTTCAGGTTTCATCGGTGATCCACTCCTTCCTCTGAGTGCGCAGCTCACCCAGGTTGTTCTCGCTTGTTTCAATAAAGGCATTCTTGATGTTCGTCCACTGTTCTTCTACGCTGTCACCTTCCGCAATATTAGCTGCGCGAGCCTCGAGTTCTTCGACGAACGATCTCTTCACTGCTGGGTCTTCCAGTCGGCGTGTGTTGAATCGCCGCCCGAGTCTCTCCTCCCGCCGTTGAGCCCGCGCAATGCGTAGGCGGATCTCACCGACCAGGAGATGATGGTCAGACGCGATGTCAGCGCTGCGTTTATTCCGAACATCAAGAAGGCTCCGTCTCCATTTTCGGGTGATGCAGATGTGGTCGATTTGGTTCTCTGTATATCCATCACGGGACACCCATGTGACTTTATGCACTGGGCGATGGGGGAAGAGCGAACCCCCGATCACCATGTCGTTGTTGGCACAAAACTCTGCAAGCAGCTCGCTGTTCTCGCTCATATCTCCGAGACCATGGCGTCCCATAATGCGCTCATAGTCCGAGTTGTCGGAGCCGATCTTCGCATTGAAGTCGCCTGTGTAGATCTTGATATCACCTCTTGGAGTCTTGTCTACGACAGCATTCAGTGGACTGTAAAAGTTCTCTTTGTCCTGCAATTCGGCAGCATCGGTTGGCGCATAACATTGGCGAGGATTATGGTAAGGTTTCGGACACGTTTTCTGAATCTGGCAACGATTATTCTCTCATTAATAGGTTCCCACTTGATGAGCGTAGCCTGTGCTTGGACGCTAAGCAGAAAGCCAAGTCCACGATGTCGCGGAGCGTTTTCACCTCGCATACCAGAATATAAAAGTACCTGTGTTCTCCAAAGTTCGGCCAGCGGATTTATAGCTTCATACGGCGGGCTTCACTGGCACTGCCAGTTTACCCTGTTGGGCTAGCGTCAGTACATTCTATGTTCCAATTATTGTCCGTTGTTTAGCGCTAAAAGTCGTTGCCATAAAATCAGTTAGTAATCTTTCACTTAGGTTTCTGTAACAATTTGAAGGTTTCGGAGACAGTAGGTGGTTGGTCTAAGGTCTCCTATCCGCCGTGATGGGACTGCCATCTTGTGTATAGCTTTCGGGGAGAAGCATTTCGTATTCAGCCGCTGGATGCCAGTCAGACGCTGTTTGAGCCGCCCCTAACATGGAGAACAGAAGCTCGGGTTTTGTAAGCCACATCCTCCGAAAAGGATGCAGCTCCCCTTTCCCTGTCAGCATACGACCAAAGTTCCCACCGGGGTTGGTTACCCGATCTTCCCTAAGGTTACTCGTACCCCAGCCGGCGCCGGGGAGGAAGGGATAGGAGTTACTGGGCAAGAGGCTAAGGACCACTTTCACTTGTGTGACGGGTCTATTTTATAACCTTCAAGTTCGCGAAGTACCGGTGGTACGCATTATTCCAGTCATTTGCCAGCCGTTGGCAGCATAGCTGTCATCGAAAGCCATCCACCTTGAGGCAGCCTCGGCGAAGTTGTTTCTAACGCTCTGAAACGGTTTGTATCAAGGCGTGACTTGTGCTATGAAATATGGTCTGACAATCACACCAATTTGAGTGCCAGCACTGACTGCATCGAATGAAGTAAGGAACTACATACTAGTTTTTTTCTACCGAGCTCGGCTGTGCAAATCTCGGCAAAAAAAAGTTTTACTGAGATCTCAGCAAACATTTCATTTGTTTGCTGAGATTCAGCTAAGCATTATCCGAGACTCAGTGATCAAATGTCACTTTTGCTGAGATCTCAGTGAAACTTATTTTTGCCGAGATTTGCACAGCCGAGCTCGGTAGAAAAAACAAAGTGTGTAAATGAGGTCTACGATTTGGTGCAATCTGGTTCTCACAATGCAGTGATCAGTCGATTCCTATCAAATAAAGGTATCAAATGTTATTTCATCACCCCATCTTCACCACACAAGGGAGGTATTTATGGGAAGCGTCGGTTAGAAGGACGAAGAAGCTTACTTTCGAGGAATTAACGACGGTACTGACTCAAACCGAGGCTTGTGTAAATTCGAGGCCCCTCTGTGCGATTTTAAAATTGAAGCGCTGAAGCCTTAACTCCGGGACACTTCATTATTGCTCAAGCTTTGACTTTGATTAACGAACCTCTCGGAGCTGGTAGCTCATGGAGTAACATGAGTAACCACCATGACAGTCACTTAAACATCTGGAATGTTCCTTGAAATACAACGAAGTTGCCAATACGTCCAGGAAGTTTATTGACCTGTTTTGCACTCCTACGTATGTCTTAACTTCTCCGAATATACCCTAACTTGTACCAAGTTCACATTTATATCAAGTTTCCTCATTATTTCAAAGCTCCCAGTATAAGAAATTTCCTTAAGTTTTACGGAGTTCTCTGAAGTTAAAGGAAAATCCTTGAACTTCAACAAAGTTCTCAGAATTTCTCTAGAAATCACTGAATTTCAACAAAGTTTGATGAAGTTCTACAATGTTCACTCCGCTTCTACAAAGCTCGCTGAAATTCTACAAAAAAATGCTGCATTTCTAGCATATTTCCAGAACATCTAAGCAGTTCCCTGAAGACATACGAAGTTTCTTGACGTCCTTAAAACATTCCCTGACATAAAATGGTATTTCCTTAACAACCATGAATTCGGTAAAGATTCAGTTTTCAACAACACCGTCTTCTCGATTAGCTGAATAGGAACCAAGGGGTAAGAGAGACGACACCTACGCTTAACGACGCCAAGGAGGTTCTTTTTAATCAAATTCAACACAAACCGTTCGTAACATTAGGAACAATCAAAGAAGTTTAATAATCCAACATTGAATTGATATTTCAGCAATCTTCTCCGTGATTCGGCATGTCCGAAGCAGACATGGCAGAAAGCGTTCAACACTTGGCCTCTGATTCGCTTCTCCTCAGGCAAGTAAAAATAAGTTAACGAGTCAACAACTTACCTACCCCTACTTGGCTATACTCTTTTGGTACCGGTCGGTTATTTTGATGATCTGATTCGCCTACGCAGTAAGCTACTAACACTGTCTGAAGAAAGTTCGCGCGCTCGAACACACCGGAAGGAAGGAAGGAGGAAAAATGGCATCCAAAAATTAAAAAAAAAAAACAAAATCTACCCGATAATGTGACTTAGAAAAAGTTCCTGAACAGTCCTACCACGGCCCGGACCCACCGCGGCACCGGTCGTGCCGTTAGCTCCGCTTCCGCCGTACTAGAATGCTGCTGTATGTTTTCAAACTCGGACTGCAATTTCCGCTGCAATCCACCGTTGGTGGTAACCACGCAGATTTGCGCTTCCAGATCGCGATTCACCGATCGCTCACCGAAGTTCGACGAGCCGATCAGCGTTACGTTCGGTAGCGTCGATCCCGGCAGGTAGTACCACAGACCCTTGGCATGGTACGTCCACCCGAGTCGCTCGTACTCGAAGAGGGACACCCGATGGTCCTGACCGGACTCTTTCAGCTTTTCGTAGAACTTTCGCGCGATCAAGGAGTATGCCGCCGGAATACCACCAGCGGGACCTTTAGCACCAAGGAAGCCGTTTGCCTATAGATTTGTAGAGAAGAAAATGGTTATCGACTCTGATGTATTATCGGTACAGTTGAAAAACGGGAAACCCCACGCGTGGCAATAGATTTTACTCATGTTCTGTACGGTAAACATACTCCCTTATTCTGCGAGTCAATCATGGTGAGTTGGCAATTGTCAACTTGTTTGAGATGACTGTCCGTGCATTTCAAATGGAGTCACCTCACACGACGTGATAATTGTCCACTAACCGGTGAGAGAGAGAGAGTCACGTAACTCGCAGAATAGGGTGGAATGCATTTGATTGTCGATTTGGCGTAACTGGTAGCTCCTCGACCACACATGCAAACACTACCATCAGATAGGAGAAATTTTCCCCTACCTGATAGCGGTGTTAGCATGCGTGGGCAAGCTACCATTTACGCCAAATCGAAGATCAAATGCATTGTTTACAAATGCAGATAGGCCCTTCGAAAAAGTAATCGAGAATTATCACGTCGTGTGAGGTGACTCTCTATTTGAATTGCACGGAGAGTCACCTCAGCGGTGACAGTGACTCGCAGAATAATGCGCACTATGTCCAATGTTATGTTTAACGTACAGAACGAGAGTAGAGTCGAATGTCGCGTGTGGGATGGAACCTACATTAGGATGCGCCATCAGAATGCTGCACTCCGCTTGGCAATCCTTGGTCAACGTATCCATGTAGGTTTCGGTCAGGTTGAAATAGCCAGTCGCCAGTTTCAGATTCGAATCTTTCAAACAGCCCGAGAGTAGACTTTTGGTGGCCAAACTGTCGTGGTGAATACCGAGTTGACCCATCTCAATCAGCGGGAATATCCACGTGTCGGAGACTGCAAAACAAAGAAATTTGATTGCCAGTTCATGCGAGAAAGCCATTCATCACTTACCGGTATCTTGCTCGCAGACACTCCTCTGCCGTTCCAGGACTCCCTTGAAGTAGTTCCGTATCCGCTCTCTCGCTTCGGTAGCGAAATCCTCATGGTCGCTTTTGTACGGCAACATGTTCCAGCTCTCGTGTAGACTGGCATCGCCATTTCGATTCACATTCAGGCTGAACTCCTGCACCTTGTTCAGGAAGTCTGCGTAAAAGTCCGCCAACTTGCGGTCCTCGATCATCACGTATCGATCCTGTCTGTTTGTGAAGTAGTCATTCGAAAGATTCGCACCGCTGATGATCACCGTATCATCCACCAGGTACAGCTTCATGTGCTGTATGCCCAACAGTTCGTTCCACCGAGGTGGCGCTAACTTTTTGGTCAGTCCTCGCAACACCGGTGTATGGTACAGCGACAGTCGGAAGTTGTCGCTTTCCTGCAGCAGTGGCATCAGTGTGGTCTGGGAGTTCTTCTCGCCGCGAGTTCCCCGGGTAAAGTCCAACAGAACGTCCACCTTGAGCTGTAGGTTCTGTTTCATGTTGTCGTGGATGGCATTGACCAGTCGGGTCTCCTTGCTGCCAATGCCTAGGTACAGACTGGCCAGCATGATTCTCCGCTTTGCGACGGCACATTTCGACACCAGGGTGTTGTAGAAGGCGGACGGCTCGTAGATGACTTCGATTTGGTTGCCCGAAACGGGGAAGCAGGGCGATACGGTGTGCAGCCAATTTAGCGATTCCAGCTGCGGAGAGCGGAAGGCTGCGGCACTGCTGTTGTTCGTTCCGACTCCGTTGCCATTTGCCGACTGGGATGTGCCGGTGGAGGCTGCCGGAAGGAATTCACCCACCGGCGGAGGGTAGTCGGTGATGATGGTGCTGAATAGGCGGCGGATCATTTTGAACAGTGGTTGGAGGATGATTTGCCAACTGGATTTTTTTTTTCAAGAGGAATAGAAAACGAACTCATGTTGAGCGGGGATCATTTGATTTGGGGGTTGTTTTGGTCTTCAGTGTTTTAATGAGTTGGGTAAATGTGCTATAGGCAAAAGCTTAGATGAACTTTTAATTGCAGGAAGGAATTTTTTCGAAAGGATCGACGAACTACTTATAAACTCAAATATACACTTATTTATAATATTTTAAAATGTAGTCTCAATGCTTATGTACAAGATATAAATGATTCGCAATGCTTTAGAGACATTGCAAGATGGTGCATTGGAATATACTTCAAACGATAGATGGATCAGGATAGACCCATGACTGACTAATGATTAATAATAATCTTCAGAGGACCGTCGACTGTTTTGTTCTAGGGCAGGATTGAGTCAAGATGTCGAAATGGTTATCATTGCGGAAAACTAGTTTGCTTGAAATGTACAATTCAATCACGCTATTCGTGTAGTTTTTCTAGGACAGTCAATACGTGCACACTATGCACCTCCTGGGAATGAGCCTGATTTTCAAGCACATAGCACATTTCTCACTGTAAACCATCGTCACTAAAACACTACCGCCATCTGTTGAGTACACTGTTGTGAGCAGAACGCTGAACAGATGGCGGTAGTGTCCGAACGTCAAACACAAGGGAATTGACTATGCGCGCCACATGTGGCGGTACTACCAACTACGATACTTTTAAATTGGCCGTTAAATGCTTGTTCGATGAACAACTTGCGAGCGTTATTTCTATTTGTCTGTGACAGTACGGTGATAGAGGAAATGTTTCACCAAACCCGAGCGTCTGTTCACCATGGAGGTGCAGCTCAAAAGGGCGTCTGTCCTCCCTGTTAGAAGCGGCTGATCACCGCCCTAGAGCCAGCGTGGGACTCTAAACAGAGCTGAGCACGATGGTCCCCCGGCGAGACAGGGGGTTGGAGCAGGCCCAACAAGCCGCCCTGGAAAAAATATAAAGTTGCAAATACCGAAGAAATAAATACGGATCGGAACAATCGGCGCAGCCCTATGCTACGAAATAAGGACTACGATTGGAAACTCGGAACATGGAACTGGTAATCGCTCGGCTTCCCGGGCTGCGATAGGTTAATCTATGACGAACCTCAACCATCGACGAATCGACATGCCACTGGAGCATTTTGTTGGTTCGCAATTCGGTTTGTCAAATGAGCCATCTGACCTGTCAAACGGGCGACCAGATCTGTCAAACAAGGTGACGTGTGTTCGTGTCCTTGCTCACGATATGACGCGATCGGATGACTGGATGGCGGTAGTGTTTAATGTATGTAAAATATGGCGACTTGGGCGAGAATTTGAATGTAGCTTCTATGAGCTGTCACGTCGGTTCGTCGGTGCTTCTACCACGCAACTTCGAAGTCGTAGCACTGCAGGACGGGACAAAAGGTATGGAAAAGTGGGAATCGAGCGGCTACTTTCTACCAGAGCTGTGGCACCACCAACGAGCTGGGAACCGGCTTTGTAGTGCGGGTTAAGATGTGCCTACGCGTGATTGGTTGGCAGCCGATCAACGCGAGGATGTGCAAGCTGAGGATTAGGGACCGTTTCTTCAACTACAGCATCATCAACGTGCTTTGCCTTCACGAAGGGAGACTGTTCGCAACGGGACTTCAAAATAGTCATCGGCGACATGAACGGTCAGGTAGGACGGGCGGCAATCGGGCCTAACAGCCTGCATGGCGTATCAAACGGCAACAGTCAACGATGCGTGAACTTTGCAGACTCCCGAAATACCTTTTTCCCCCTCGCAAGGATATCCACAAAGCCACCTGGAGATCACCTGACAAACACTCAGACAAACCAAATCGATCTTGTTCTAATCTACGAGAGATTCTTCTCCAACATTATCAACGTCCGCACGTACCGCAGTGCGAACATCGATCAATTTAAAATCGTTAGTTTCGAATTGATTGTTGGTAAGCTTGCGCTCAAAACTTTCGACGGTGCATAACACCCGTCGAAGTCGAACTTCGCGACCCAACATTGAGCAATTACGGGACGCTGGAGTTGCCCAGGATTACGCTTAGTAACCACGGAAGAGCAGCTTGGGGGAGATACTCTTGAAGATAGCTTGGCACAGCTACTCTTGAAGATGGCTAGAGGGACATCTGTTCCGCCATAGGTAGTACTGCTGCGACTTTAACGCATGGGCGGTAGAGTGGGGTAGCCACCACACCAACCAGAGAGGATGCATCCTACTAGAGGCAATGGCCAAGCTGGACGTTGTACTAGCCAACACCGGCTCGGTCAGTACCTACAGAAGGAATGGTGCAGAATCCGTCATCGACGTGACATACTGCAGCCCGAGTTTGGAGGGCAACCTACACTGGAGGGTCGATGAGGGTTACACCCATAGTGACCATCAGGCGATTCGGTACAGTGTGGGGCCAGGTGAGAGGCGAGTGGCAGGAGGAAATTCTTCCTGCGCTCGAGGTTGGCGGACGTCGTTCTTCGAGGAGGAGGTCTTCGGCGAAGCACTGAGGCGGGAGCGAATAACCCCGGATTTGGCGGGGGAAGAACTGGTAGCAGCACTGACAAGGGCGTGCGATACAACCATGCCTAGGAGAGCCTATCCCAGGCATGGCCATAGACCGGTGTACTGGTGGAGCGAGTCGATTGCTATCCTCAGGGCGTCTTGCCTCCAGGCGAGAAGGAGGATGCAACGAGCTCGTACGACTGAATCTCGGGAGGAACGCCGCGTCGCTCTCCGAGCGGCTAAGGCAGCCCTCAATAAAGAGATCGCCAGACGCAAGCGCGCGTGCTTTGACAGCCTATGCCAAAGCGCCAACACGAACCCATGGGGGGATGCTTACAAAGTGGTCATGGCAAAGACCCGCGGCGTGACGGCACCCCCGAAGAGATCACCAGCGGTACTGGCTCCGATCGTTGGGTTCCTGTTCCCGCGAAGGGACGTAGACTCCTGGCCGCGGATCCCAGGCGCGAATCAGGGAGAAGTGTCTAGAGTGACGAACAGTGAACTTGGCGGTATTGCCAGGTCGCTGGTGGTGGGCAAGGCCCCGGGCCCAGATGGGATCCAGGTTGTTCCGTTCTGTTTTCAGACTTGTCTGGACATAGGCGTCTTCCCAGACGCGTGGAAACGGCAGAAGCTGGTGCTGCTTCCGAAGCCAGGAAAACCCCCTGGGGACCCGTCAGCATACAGACCCATCTGTTTGCTGGACACCACTGGGAAACTGCTTGAGAGGGTCATCCTCAACAGGCTGTCGGCCTACACCGAAGGTGTAGACGGCCTGTCAAGCAGCCAGTACGGGTTCCGAAAGGGGAGATCCACGGTGGACGCCATCCGCGACGTCATCCAGACGGTAGAGGTGGTCCATCGGAAACGAAGGGCTATTCGCTACTGCGCGGTGCTAACCTTAGACGTGAAGAACGCGTTCAACAGCGCGTGCTGGGGGGCGATAGCCCGCTCGCTACACCAGCTCCAAATTCCCGGAGGGCTGTATAAGATTCTGGAAAGCTACTTCCAGAATCGTGTGTTGACGTACGACACAGAAGATGGCGAAAAATGCGTTAGAGTCACCGCAGGTGTGCCACAAGGCTCCATCCTGGGCCCGGTGTTATGGAACGTCATGTACGATGGACTGTTGAGGATAAAATTCCCGGTAGGCGTGAAAATTGTAGGTTTTGCCGACGATGTCACGCTGGTAGTCTGCGGGGAATCCCTCGAGGAGGTAGAGCTGACAGCGGCCCACTGCGTCAGGCTTGTGGAGGAATGGATGAGAACCAGGAAACTGGAGCTCGCCCATCACAAGACGGAAGTGGTCGTAGTCAACAATCGCATGTCAGTACAGCATGCGACGTTGACAGTCGGCGGAAGCACAATTAGGTCTGTGCGCTCTCTAAAACTCTTAGGGGTCATGCTCGACGATAAGCTCAGCTTCTGCAAGAGAGCGTCTATGGCTGTGGGGGCATTATCCCGTATGATGTCAAACAGCTCGGCAGTGAATGCCAGTAAGCGCAGGCTCCTCGCTGGGGTCGTAGTATCTATCCTCAGATACGGCGGCCCTGCGTGGGCTGCGGTACTGGATATTGACTGCCACAGGAGAGTACACACAGGCTAATGCGCTTAAGGGTGGCCAGTGCATACCGCACTATCTCGAGAGAGGCCGTCTGTGTCATAGCAGGGATGATGCCAATCAGCCTTATCATTAAGGAGGATGTGGCGTGCTATGACGCGAGGACCGTTCGAGGGGTGCGCAACAACGCGCGAGTTGTGTCGACCGCGAGATGGCAATCGGAGTGGGAAAACTCCACAAAGGGGAGGTGGACTTACCGCCTGATACCTTCCGTATCAAGCTGGGTCAACAGGCGCCATGGGGAAGTAAACTTCCACCTGACACAGTTCCTGTCAGGCCATGGCTGCTTTAGGAGCTACCTGCATAGGTTCGGACATGCAAGTACTCCCATCTGCCCCACATGTGCTGGTGTCGAGGAGACCGCCGAACACGTCGTGTTTGCCGTCCACGTTTCGAGCCAGTATCGAGCGCTATGCTAGCGATATGCGGAGCGGATACCAGTCCGGATAACATCGTTCATAGGATGTGTGGTACCACCGAGAACTGGAGCGCGATGGTGACTGCGGTCACCCACATAGTTTCGGTATTACAACGACAGTGGCGAGCCGAGCAGCAGTTACCTACTGCCCGACCAGATCGTTAGAGTATTGCTAGAGAGGCGCCATAGCGCTACAGCGGCCCCTCCCACAAAGTAATGCCTTCGGGCGGTTCCGGGGAGGTCAAGGGACAAGCGCCCAGGGTAAGGTTTAGTGGGTCGGGAGTGAAATTCTCCCATCCCCACACCCTGAGTTCCTTCTCAGGTGTCTGTGAGCAGATTCCCCCTGTGAAGTGCTGCTAGTGCTGCAGCAGCCTCACTAGGTACAGCGATCCCGGACCGAAGAAATGACTGGTTTGACGGCGAATGCAAACTGTTAGTAGAGG